TAGTAGAGACGGGGTTTCTCCATGTTGGTCAGGCTGGTCTAGAACTCCTGACCGCAGGAGATACATCCGCCTTGGCCTTCCAAAGTGCTGGGATTACAGGCGTGAGCCACCATGCCCAGCCGCTTTCTTCCATCTTTTAGTCTTGCTCTCCAGTGTTGGCTGCATTCACATGCAGGTTCTTTCCCTAAGAGTCCTTTCTACAAACCGCAGGAGATGGTATAAAATGACCAGTACTGGGACTCCGGGACACCTGAGATCAGAGGACTATGTCTGAACCAAATTCCGGCCCGGAAATGTACTACTCTGATTGGCTAGTGGAATGGAGTGCTCTGATTGGCTAATGGAATGGCATACTCTGATTGGCCAGTGGAATGAAGTACTCTGATTGGCTGGGTTTGCCAGGGATCCCAGGTTAAGTCAGAAAAACAAAATGGGTTGAGGGGGCAGAGGCCTGAAGCCCTCATAGCAGGACAGGGTGGGCTGGCAAACCCCACAGATTTCAACGAGGAGGAGGAGCCAGTTGACTGAGAGGGGGATGGGTAAGGGGAGTTCCTGGCAGAGGAGACAGCAAAGATTACAATGGGGAAGGCAGTGTGACCTGCTTGAGGCAGTCAGAAGACCCCCTCACCCTATCAGGTGCCTTCTCCAGGCCCCTATGCCTTCTAGCTTCCCCTGTTGCACCACTTACCTCTCTGGGTTGGGACCAAGTCTGGCTTCTCTCCCCGCAGTCTAGGCCCCGCCTTGGAGGTCTTCCCTGTCTCACCCTGTGAGGGGTGTCGGCTTCCAGCCAGATGTCCAGCTAAAGCAGGTAAGAGTGAGAACCTGCCCCTGATACAACAATCAGTGTCCCCCTCATAGGCCTTTGACGCACTCGAAAGATTTCCCAGTTACGTGTGCAGAGGCACACTCGGTGCCCACTATAAGCAGAGAACAGTGACCAGAATGATGTACTCAGATCCACAGAGACCACGGAACAACAGCACCATGATGGAAAGGCACAGCTCCCCACAGGGTTCTTCACCCCCACACCTCTCCCCACCCTTTCTCTCACCTCCACTCCATGATGGGGTCTCACTCTGTCACCCAGAGTGGAGTGCAGTGGCATGATCTCCGCCCACTGCAACCTCCACCTCCCGGGCTCAAGCGATCCTCTTCCACCTCAGTCTCCTGAGTAGCTGAGACCACAGGCATGCACCACCACACCCACCACCACCACCACACCAAGATAATTTTTTTTTTTTTTTGTATTTTTGGTAGAGACAGTGTTTCAACATGTTGCCCAAGCTGGTCTCCAACTCCTGAGCTCAAGCGATCTGTCCCCCTTGGCCTCCCAAAGTGCTGGGATTACAGGCATGAGCCACCTCACCCAGCTCCCATATTCTTTAAAAAAAAAAACCTCTAAGATATTCACACACCACCCCATATACTGTACAGTCAGGAAGAGAGGTTCTGAAAACAGGAAGTCAGGAGGCATATCCTGAGGTCCCCAAGAGTTTCCTGGCACTGACCTTGGTGACAAAAGCAGTATGGTTTGAGGGTGGGGGAAGCCACAGGACAGTCTGGCACACAAGGAAGACAACTCATGGCAGAATAATAATAATTATAATAACAGTATCATACATCACGGACAAACCCAGCTGCCCCAAGCTTACTGCAAAATCCATATGTACAATATAGTCTATGAGGGTGGCATACGGGGCTGCCCGCCTGCACCCTCAGGCCTAACTCATACCAGCTCCCTGAGGAGGGGCTGGCCCCTCCTCCTGCCCCTGTTGAAGCTTGGCACAGGCTGGGGAGGCTGGCACTGCCAACGCCACCCCTCTGTGTGGGGCAAGCCTGTACCAAGGGGCTAGACCTACCTTCCCCACTGTGGCCTGGCTGCAAGGGTTGGGGAAGTGAGCCTGTTAAGGGACCAGGTGGTGGCAGTTGCAGGGTGTGTCTCATCTGAGTCCCCTTTCTACCCCTACCAGCTCTTCCTGCGGGCCTGCCCATGGCAGGAAGGGGCCAGGGACACTCATGGCACAGACAGGGCATGCAGAGCGGACCCATGGCATGCTCGGCCCGCCAAGTGCCATGCAGCTGTCCTGGACTGTTGAGCAGCTGTCAGAGGGCTGAGTGGGCAGTGGAGTTCAAGGATTCCCCGATGGGCTGGGCTGCTGATTCAGTCTGTGGTGGGGTCTCCTGGGAACTGGGCCCTTGGGTAGGCAGCTGCAGAAATTCTGGAAGTACCAGGTCCTCTTTCCTCAGAAGGCCCCTCTGGTCGTGGGCCCCGCTGCTCTGCACCCGGTTCAGCAGCTCCACCAGGCCTAGAGGCAGACACAGCATGAGGGTTCCCCCCAACAGACCTGCCTACATGCTAGCCCGCAACAGTTCCGCTGCCTTACTGTAGCCACAGCCTCCATGGCCCCAGCACCAATGGCCTGTGGCCCCTTATTCCAGCCCCTTGCTCCTAAACCCCCATCCTTCCTGTTCCATGCCCAATGGCATGCAGCCTCCTACCTTAGCTCAAGGCTCTCTGATGCCACCCTGAATGGTCCCCAACCCCACTGCCCTAGTCCCTCTGATCCCCAGCTCATCCCTCATGTACCTTCGATGTCACAGGTCTGCCGCTTTCCAGTGGCACTACTGGGCGCCTTCACCAGAGAATTGGGGGACACCGAAGGGGGATGGGTGGCCTTGTCCTGGGTTCTAGGTGGGCAGCCCTGCGAGAATGTGGGGTCAGGGCCACAACTGGGAGGGGAGAAGCAGAGGGTGGAAGAGGGCGCCCCACCTTTCGCTCACCTGGCTGCGGCAAGGAGATTTGTCACGGACTTTGGAGATCTTCACACCTGTGACAGAGATCACCACAATTAGTGTTTGCCTCCTGCCTGGACCGCTTTCCTTCTAGGCCAGAGCCATTCCAGATCAAGCTCCGAGGCCAATGTCCCCTACCTGGAAGAGTGTCCAAAACCAGCCTCTGGGCCGCCACCGAGCTCACTAGCTTCCCCATATCCAGAGGCTGCTTCTCGCCTGGCTGTGGGGAGAGGTCAGCAGCCCGCGGTACAAGCCGCCGCCCCGCCTCGTCCCACGGCCCCGCGGCTTACCCGGTGCAGCGTCACCTGTAGCGGGCTCAAACCATGCTTCTCCAGAATGGGCTGCAGCGCCTCCTGCAGCCGCTTGGTGGGCTTGGCTGAGATTCGTACCACGCGCTCCAGCGCCGCCAGCTCGAGCCTGCGCGGAACCCTAGGGGCAGCACAGGGCCGGGGGGCCGGCCCCCAGCCAAACCCTTCCCAGGATAAAGGCGAGGGGGCGGAGCTTGAACTGCAGAAGGTGGTACTGGCTTGTAGGGGGAGGGGCTTGCCCAGGAGGCGGGGCTAGCACGAGAGGCGGGGTCTGGGGAGCCAGGGAGCCAGAACAGAGCCTGAAGGGAGGAGCGTCAGGACCTGGGACCCAGACTTGGGGACAGGACACTCACTCGAAGGTGATCCTGTTTTCCAGACGCACTTCCTGATCTGCCAGCACGGTGCAGTCCTGATCTAGGACCAGGGCCTTCTGTGGATGCCAGGCAGGGTCTAAGAGTCCCTTCCCCCACCCCGAGCCATCCCTGTGGGTCTGAGAGAACAACTTCCTGTCCTCCCATGGCCACCACTGGGGCTTCTTAGAGGGAGGTAAGGAGGGTAGAAGAGCTGTAGGGGAGCAAATGGGTTAAGGTACCAAGCTGCAGTCCAAGCCTGGGAAAGCCAAGGCCAGAGAGGAAAGTGGCAAGAATGCTGGACATTCTTGGGAAAGGACAGAAATTATGAGAAAGTAGCCGCTGGCATGAAATGATAAGGGGGCAGACTTAGGTCCCAGATCCTTGGCCTATTTTTTTTTTTTTTTTTTTTTTT